AGAGTTGGATGTTAATATAGATTTGGTAGGGTTGACTTTGATGTTAGCCATATTGTAAAAAGATTCAGCAACTGAAAAAATATTGGATAGCTCAGTTTGACTAGATGCAATCCACAAAGTATCATCCATATAGGCCAGCACAAAGCTATTAGCTTCAAGCTTGTTGGTAGAAGAGTTCTTTAAATTAGTGAGCCATAAGACAGAGGTTGAGTAGCCAGGGAAGGTTGAATGTATGTAGGTGATTAGAGGGTCATAATAAATTCGCCAGAGCAAAGGGGTAATGGTCTTCCCTTGATCAATACCATTTTGAACCTGGTATAGTGATATTAAACCAAAATTGGTTATAACTTCATTCTGGCAGTTGGTAAGTAGGTTTGAGAGGATGTTGATAATAGGTTAAGGAAGAGAGAGGCGATGAAGAGAATGTTTAAAGAGATCAAAATTGACAGGTCATAGGCTTTACTCATATCTTGAAATAAAAGCCAAATCTCTTTGTAGTTGCAATTGGCATCTTCAATTAGATTATCGAGAATATAAATAAAGATAGATGTGCTATTGCCAGGTAAAGCTACATAATTGAAAGGTGAAAAGATAGGATGTTGGGAAAAGACTTGGTTAAGTCTGTTAGTTAGTATTTTGGTATAAATTTTCCTAACATGCTTAATTAAGCTAATTGGGCAAGTAAGGTTGAGGTTTCCATCAGAAGCATTTTTTTGGGTATGGGGTAAATTTTGCTATGTTTCCATAGCTTGGGTATAGAGTTTTTAGAAAGGCAGCGATTGAAGAGCACAGTAAAAGCAGTAATGCAATAGTAACTGAGATGTTTAATCATCTCGTAGCTAATGCCTGTGAGTCCGCAAGTTTTCCCATTAGGAAGCTTGGAGATGGTTTGAAGAACTTCATCAACAGTAATGGGTTGTATAAGTGGGCTATACCAGTTTGAATTAATATGAGGGAGTGGTTGGTAATGTTGTTGCCAAAAATTATTAAAGAGAGTTGAGTTGATAGGTTTGTAAGCAGTCCAATTATCAAAGTGTGTTTGCACGTGTTGCTTAATTACAGTTGGATCGGTTATAAGCTGGTTGGATAGCTTGATATTGGTAAAGTGTACAGGGGCTGATATCTATTAAGTATGCTGTTGATAGCTTGAGTAGGTTTGGATACAAGTGTCTCGCATCTTCTTTCTAAGGCCTAGTTGATTTGATGTCTGAGGCAAAGAGAGTGTTCAAGATAATAGGCATAATAGACTTGTTTCCATATAGTGTAGGCATGTTGTAACCATGGTTGAACAATAGTGGGATCGAGTGAGTTTAATGATTGAAGATTGCATTTTGCATATGTATTAATGTTTGTGATAAGTATGTCAATATCTGAGAGGTGTAAGTTAGAGTAGTTACTGCTATTTTTATGGAAAATTTTGATTAGATGGCCAAGTTTCTTAAGACTGAGATGGAGTACAGTATATTTAGAGCTGTATTGATGATTGTAACTTTGTTTGCATGATATTTTATTAGGGATAGTTTTGATTGTAGTATGTATTATACAGTGTTGGAGTTTGTGCCAAGAGGTATTAATACTCTTGAACCCATCAAGGGTGAGGGAGATATTGCTTCTTCTAATTAATCTTGTAGTAAGCTCAGAAAATTCAGACCATTGTTTATTAGAGGTTGATTTGTAGTTAAAGATTCTATGGCTAATATTAGTACAGAGGCGGGGAGGTTTACTATAGACATTAGAGAAAGTTTATGAAGTTGAGAGAATGAGGTGATTACTAAGGGTACTGGTTTTGCTATTATCAAGATTGTAATCAAGAAGAAATTGTATATTAAAAGTGTTTGTCCAGATATAGTCAATTCTACTAGATTGAATTCCATTAGACCAGTTAGGGTGTGTATGGTTAAAATGTGCTCCAATGTCAAACATATTGGAGCGATATAAAAAGTTAATAAGTTTGAACTTAGAGGAAGAACTAAAGGTAGTGTCTTGTGTATTGAAATCACCCAAAATAATAGGTTGTAGATTATGCTGTTGAGCTTGTGTAATCCAATTGATAACTATGTTTTGAGTAAGATTAAGTCTGGTAGAATCTGTTAAAGAGAGATAGACAGAGATTATCTGGAGTTTGATATTGCTTTTGAAGAATAGGTCAAGTGCGATGGCTTCACCAGGATGTGTTAGACAGCTGTGGACATGGGGCTTAAGATGGTTGTGAACATAATAGCTTTCTCTCCATAGAGCTGTCCGAGTTGGACCAGTAGTAGGTAAAAAGGTTATTATTGCAAAAGGAAAGTTTAGTTTTGTTTGAAATCTTGGTTTTAGTGATACTGGCAATAGAGATGTTGTGGTTAATACAATAGTCTTGCCAGATTTGCCTCTTGGAGGCAACATTAAAGCCTCTGATATTGTGGGTAGCAATAGTGAGGTGTAGATCACGAGAGCTGGGCTGTGTAGGTTGGATAGATGAGCTGCTAGAGGAACAAGTAGACTTATAGGGGATTTGTAGTAAGCAGAGTACTATTGAGGAGAAAGTGTGATGTGGCCTTGTAGAATAGTATCAGTAATATCAAGATAGACATGAGTTTCAAAAGTTATAATGTTAACAGAAATTTTGTATGGTTGGAAAAAGGAGTTTTTAAGGAGATGTTGTAAAAATAATTTGAGAGTTTGAGGTGATGGGAAAAGAGAAAAATTATATTTGCAAAGGAATTTGTTAAAGCATGTTTTCTCAATAGGGTGGGGTGAGTTGGTGATTGAGGAGGAGGAGATGTCTTCTACAAAAACGCTCACTGTATGTCCAGTTTTCATGGCTGTGCAAGAGGCCAAAGTCTGCTCTGTACGTTGAGTCTGACCATCATTTATTGACTCTTCCATGTATCAGGGGTGACTGATACTTTGAGGACCACCCCAACCTGGTTACCCAGGTTATTTAACATTCTATCTTCTGATCTTGGACATGTAGAAGACTAGTTTGTATTTGTGTTTACGAATGTTTTGGGTGAAGTATATATTACTATATACAGTTAATGACATTAGACAATATAATTCTACTATTTATATGCCTAACTCTTATATGGATTTATCTTGTGTTTACACCAACTAAACTGGTTTGTATTCCTTCAATCCTTACTTCGAACTATTTTTCAAGGGGCCCCAACCCTCTATTCTTTATCCTTTTCTGAATTGAACACCATACTCAGGATTTGCAAGTAGTTTTTCCTAATCTGGTTAGTCCAGAGGTCTTGATGTTCATACTACTTCTATATCAGGGTCTACCATAAAGGCTTATCTTGTGTTTGTGCCAACATACACCAGTTTGTATTTCTTCATCTGGGTTTTCCCCAAATAAATGCTCTACCATAGATCTTGTTATACCACAGTACTCCCAGGAGCAGTACTCCTGGTCTGCGCCCTTTTGGTTACAGCATACGATGCCACTACAAATTAAGTTGACATATCCAGAAGGGATATACAAGGAGTAGTTTTCAAATTTTCATTACTAGTAAGATTCGAACCCTAGACCTTGCTACTTGGGGGGTGACAACTCTACCACTTTGCTATATCATTACACCCTACTTTAGTTATAATTTTCTCTAAATTGTAAGCAATTGTTTCACTATTTTGATGTATTTCATTAGTTGGATATACTGTATAGAATATAGGTTTTGGTGTTGTTAATATGTAATTAGTCCAATGCTCCTGTACTAAATTAAACCATCCATCTGATACAAGACATAGATTTTTGCTATTATTAATTAAGGTTTCAATATTTTTTCAGTTTCATTATAGATATTGTCTAACAAATTTGTTGAAAGTTTTTTATGACTAGGTAATCTAATGCAGGCTGTGCTTGTTTCCACAATTTTTTAATGGGTTCCATTTCAGGTAAAAATAAAACTAAACTACATTGAAATACTGATCGAGCAAATTCTAATTCAAGTAATTTTTGTTCTATTTTAGATATACAATCTGATGTAATATAATTTGTAATTCGACCTTTGCTTGTATTTTTAGTAAATACTTTTTTATTAGATGTAGATGAAGTTGATATA